GAAGGAAGGAAAGAAGGAAGGAAGGAAAGAAGGAAGGAAGAAAGGAAGGAAGGAAGGAAGGAAGGAAGGAAGGAAGGAAGGAAGGAAGATAGTGTCAACTCTCTTGAGAAGCTCACATCCAACCATTGGTGTGTACACTAAATCTCCCTAAAATTTAGTGGTGAGCCCTGAAGTCACAGGCATAAAAGTAATGTTATGTGACTTGAGAAGATTATATTTTTATACTTTGGAATATGTAACAACAGTTAAGGAAAAGCAGTCTATAGGTAGTGAATATGAGAGACAACAAGGTGGGGGTTTGTGCTAGTGATTGGAAGACCAAAAGGGGGACTAATCATATAATTGCATTTTAATTACAAAAATTAAAAAATTCAAAACAAGAATATTCAGATTCCTCTTGTGGTCAAAATTCAATCTTTCCTTATAAACTAATTGGAGATATACCGTATGTGTACATTAGTTGGATGTATGTCTTATCACAACCTGGTGCACATAGGGTCATTGAATACCCAGGAACTGGAGTTGTGAGATACCATGTAGATGCTGGGAACTGAATTGAAGTCCTTTGCAAGAACAAGTATTCTTAATCACTTAGCCCTCCCTCCAGCTCTTGAAGTTGTATTTTTAGAGACTAATTAATCCTCAGTATTTTGAAATATTGGTTCTGTAGAAGGAAGCTAAATACTAACAAATGTATGTGGTGTCTGACTTTCTCATAGAGCCGCATTGATGTATATATAACACACAGTCTAGCAGGATCATCAGTTCAAATTCTTCTACATTACAGTCAGGTATGATTTTTTTAAATACATCTCTTTCTTTTCTTTTGCTTTTGAAATTCTCCTCCTTCATAAGTTTGAAAAAATCTTTCTCCAGTTGACTTTCTGGTCCGGGTAATACAACCCTTTTGATAGATTAAAAGAAAGATATCAGTACATAGAATCTTTTGTGATAATCTCAGAGTGGCCATATCATTTTATCCTCAAAGAGAATGGCTCCCTATTCCAGTGAATCTACATACATATATTTTATGTCAAATTAATACCAGTTTTAGTAATCAATTTCACAGATTGATGCAAGATGAGAATTGTAGACACCATTAAGGTCTATGAGTAAAATGTCATAGTTTTCCTATCCAGTTATTCAGAAGAATCCCCTATGTGACAGCCAAGTCATCATAGTAATGTCATTTGGCAAGAGGTAAACTGGTACCTGCACATAGGGAGCAGGCCATCTCATCTTATGTATTTTTTAATTACATTCTAAAATATACTATTTAAATTCTACACATGAGCATAGTCTTTAATTAAAATATGATATGGAAATTTTTATTCTATTAGCCCATTATCAATAAAACAGTATATGTCACATCCTAAGAAATGCCTCTTTATATTGCTTTGTTGATAGAATTCTATTCAGGATTCTGCAACACTCTTAACATTTCCGCTTTGTTTCTATTACTCACTTCTGATCATTATAATTTCTTATTTTTATAGATACAGAGATTATGCAACATCTATCTTAATATTTTTGAAGATTCTTCTGTTGTATAATATCACAGAACAATTATGTAAATGAAATTATATATTAAGGATACAAATTTTATTAAATATAAAGTATTAATGCAAATAGCAACTAAAGTCTTATGAAGTATATTTTTAATTCATTTGAATTATTGAGCAGTAAAATAACTTTTACAAGTAGTTATTAGAGATTTCATATATTTTATTTTTCTTATATGCATTAATTTAGATTCTTATAATTAATCACATTTGATAAAATGAAAGCTGAGATTTACTACATAATACTAAAACTAAATATAGCATAAAATTATATATCAATTTTGCATCCTTAAATAACTAAGCTTTTATGTTTAATGAATGATATTTTCTCAACTTCTTATTGACTTTTCTTGATATACAGTACATATGAACTGATACATGTTAAACATTATTAAAATGTTTTTAAAGTATATTTTATATGAGATGGTATAAAAGAAAGCTTATGAATTCAATGTTCTTTTATGCATATTCATGCAATGTGTAATGTTCTAGGACTGTAATTTAGTAGCCATTGATCAGGCATTACATATCATTGAGATAGAAAATGTACTGGGTTTGTCAGAGCCAATGTGTCATTATTGCAAAAAAGAGCCAATAGAACTCAATACCTTCTGGTTCTATTCTAATATAAGGCTTTGTAAGTAATGGTATGTTTTATCCTTATTTAAGGCGATTAATACAGGTGTGTTTGGAGCTTATGATTGGGGAAGTCCATCTCTAAATATGCTACACTACAATCAGGTAAGTCTTTTTACCCATATTTAATGATCTGGTCCCTACAAAAGACATATACTGTTAAGAAATCTAACAAAAGTCTTTTTTTAAATAAGAAGAGGACACATTTTATTTTGTTAGGAAGATACACCACACAGAACTTTGGGAAGATTAAAAACAAATAGTGTTATCTTTTGTAAGATAATACTGTGAAAAAAATTTCTATCATGGTATTTGAATGATATACTCATTTCACATGTAAAGAACCAAGGTTCAGAGAATTTAGGACTTGTATGATTCCAAACTTGAATCACAGTGCACTACAATCTGGGTGTGGTGACATATCCCAGTAACCTTAGGATTAAGGATTCTGAGAGGGGAGGATTCTGGCAAGAATCCAGCATAGGCTACATAGAAAGTAGCTGTCTCAAAACTAAAGTAAATATATAAAAAATGAAATTATTTTTTTCCTGTCAAGGCCTAAGATCATCAATAATTTCTATAGACATAGTAAGCACACCATTATAATTATCCTGTCACATAAGAGAATAAGCCATCAATAACAGTCATAGTTTTTTTGCTAAACTCTTTATCATTTTCCACTAGACAACTCCTCCATTATACAATGTGGAAGACATGAAGGTTCCAACTGCCATGTGGAGTGGCAGAAATGACTTTTTGGCTGATGAAATAGATGTTGCACATTTGGTATCCAAACTTCCCAATCTCATTTACCATAAAATTATTGCTGATTTTAGCCATCTTGATTTTGCAGTGGGACTGAGTGCTTATGATGAGGTGTTCAAAGGTATTTTAAAACTTCTTCATGAATCTGAGACTGAAAATTTGCATTAGCTTTTTGCATGTTTTTCAAACCCCTCGGAAACTTTCTTGCTATTGTAAGATATTTTTTGCTTGGCCTTTTTCACTTTAATTGTTTTTTTTTTATTTTTAAGCTATTTCTTAATTTATTGGATTTTATTTTTACTAGCGAAAAATTATGTGCATCAAGAAAATGCTTCATCTTGTGACTGTTTCTTAATGAATGTATGTTTTTAAAATATTTTTGACATGAGTGCTCTTGAAGAGAAGGCCTACTTTTGATTTGCATTGATGAAATCCTAAAATACTGATGCAGGAAGAGGCCCATAGGGTGATATCAGATATCATGATGTCTGGAGAGCAAACTATAAAATGTTTCATATAATAGGACCAGGACTCCATAAGGGCTATTAGTCTTGTTGCTTATAATCCACAAATCTTATTCACTAGTCTCAGTGCAATGTCCCTACCCCGTCACAATCTGTGTGGACCAGGCACTGTTTTGTATAAGTCACTCTGACAATATTGTCTGGTTTGAGAATAAGAAGAAATATTACAAGTGATCTGAGTCATATACAGATAATTTACAGGATTAATCATCCATGAAAGCCCCTGAATAATGTCACGTTAATTATACATATATGATCTAGAACTCTCCTAACAACCTAGGGTGACTATAAATTGTGTGTGTGTGTGTGGCGCGCGCGTGCGTGCGTGCGTGCGTGCGTGCGTGCGTGCGTGCGTGCGTGCGTGCGTGCGTGCGTGCGTGCGTGTGTGTGTGTGTGTTATGTTCCTTCTGTTCTAAGTTTCTTCAGGACTTTTATTTGATTAAATGTTGGACTTTTTGAAAATACTTTCTCCATCTATGGGTGAGCATATGATTTCTGTCCTTCAGTCCATTTATGTGATAATGTATTACATTTTTTGGCTTGGAATATGTCAGACCATCCCTGTATTATTCCTGGAATAAAGTCTGCTTAATGATAAGTAAATTTTGTTTCTTGAAAGTGTTATTTCTATTATCCTCAAATACATTACATCCCAACAGACATTTCCCCTCCCTCTACACCTCCCAAGTCCCACCCCTTTCTTTCTCTTCTAAATCCACTTCTCGGAAAAGAGCAGGACTCCCAGGGATAACATCCATATATGGCATAACAAGTTACAATGAGACTAGATACAAAAATCATCCTGAATTAGGTAACCCAGACTCAGAAACATGGTATGTACTCAAATGGACATTAGCTTTTAAGTAGAGGATAATCATGCTAGGAGCCACAGACCTAGAGATTCTAAATAATAAGGAGGGTTCTGGGGATGGGACATGTATGTCCTTGGCAGGGGAAAACAGAATTGATTTTGCAGGTATATTGGGGGAAGGTTGGGATGATAACATGGAGGATAAGGGAATGGAGGAAGAGAGTACTGTGAGAGACAACTAGAAGTGAAAACATTTGGGGGTGATATGGAAACCAAGTGCAGTGGAAATTCCCTGAAATATATTAGGGTGACCCAAACGAAGAATCCTAGTAATGAGGTATACAGAGCCTCAACCTGCCATCTTCTGTAACCAGGCAAGGCTTCCAGTGGAGGGATTGGGACATCAACCCAAAGACAAACCCTTAGACCCACAATTGTCTGGCCTGTAAGATGTGCTGGATTTATGGGGGCACAAAATTTATAGGAATGTCCAAACAATGACTGATCTAACATGAGGCCCACATCACAACAAGGAGCCCATGCCTGACACTGCCTTGAGGTCCAGGAACCAGAGGCTAGATAACTCAGACACATAAGATAGAATCAATCATGTCTGGAGAGAAAAAGGTGAATGAAACAATTTCTAATAATATTGCACTATATTCATAGATGGTACCTAAGTGATTGTACCTCAGACAATCACTGCCAAAGAAGCTTCATCCAGCAACTGATCAGAGCAGAGGCAGAGAACCACAGCCACACAATAGAAGGTGGAGGGAAGGGATGTAGGAATCAGGGGAGTTGAACCACGTGGGAGGCCAAAATATCACACAGAGACTTAAATTAACTACAGTGCTGCTGGCCAATGACTAGGATTTCTTATCTGCTATCTCAGTCTTAATTACCAAACATAATCATTAATCTGTATATTTTATAACGACTTATAGAGAACACCAGCTTTGCGTCCTGTCTTCCTGGCAGTCACGTGGCTACTCCTGTCTCTACTACATTTCCTAGAATCCTCCTCGACTGCTAGTCCCGCCTAACTTGCTCCCCTATAGGCCAACAGTCCTTTATTTATCAACCAATAAGGCAAACATATACACAGAAGGACCTCCCCCATCATAAGGGATCTTAGAAACTGAAGTGACAATCATGGACCCTGTATGGGTCTGTGTAGTATGAATAATAAAAACCCAGAGACAGATATTTGGGTTCAAGCAAAGCAGCCAATCACTAGAGAGTTCTTACCTCTACCAAGGCTAGAGTGGCCCTGTGCTTGGCATGGCTGGAGACCCTCATGAGACCCTGAATTCCTGTCTTATATCCCTATCTTGTGCTAGGATTAAAGGCATACACAACCACTGCCCAGTGTCAAACTAGCAGCAAACTAGTGTTGCTTCTGGGTTTAGAGGTGTGTACAACTGCCTCCTGGCCTCTATGGCTATGGTTAGCTTTGCATTCTGATCTTCATACAAGCTTTATTAGATCATGAACAATATATCACCACAGGTCTGAGCTAAGTTTTGCATATGTATTATGGTTGTGTAGCTTGGTGTTCTTGGAGGACTCCTAACAATGGGAGTGTGCTCATGGTGGGGGATATCTCTGACTCCTTTGCCAGCCTGAAAATTAGTTTCTCAAGTATTTCTATTGAGAAAATGTTCATCTATGCTCAACAGGAAGTTAGATCTATAATTTTCTTCTCCTCATGTCTTTACCTGTTTAGAGTATCAGGATAATATGGTTCCATAAACATAATCTGTCAGTATTCTAAGTATTCTATCTTTCCTCTTTTATAAACCAGTATGAGAACAATTGACAGCAATTCTTCACCTAGAGATGATGGAATTTACTAATGAGTCCATTTAGGTATCTAATGAGGATTTTCTTTTCTCTTTAGTTTAGAGAATTTTTGGTAATGCTTCATTATTTATTCTTACTATGGATTGGGCTGGAGAGATGTCTCAACTGTTAAAGGCTAGGCACAACCAAAAATATTCTTGGAATGGATTTCCTTAATTTATATCATCTTATTTTAATCATGGTAGTTTATGTGCATCTGGGAAGTTATCCAGTCTTACAGAACTTTCTAGTTGAGTAGAATATATACTTTCAAAGATTCCCTAGGATTTTTTTCTAAGTTTCATTGGTATCTAATATAAATGTCTCTTTTATTTGTACATTTCTTGATTGCATCTCCCTGCCTCTCTTAGTTATTTCTTCCAGCTGCTGAATTGAGCTTGAGGTGTTCTTGTATTCTAAGTGGCTAATACTGTTGAATTTTTCCTTTTGAAGTCTCTCTTCTTTCTTCATGGAGGTTGTTAAAGCTATGACTTCTTTCATGCTGGCCTTCATCATATCATACATGTTTCAGTGTGTTCTGTATCCATTTCAATTCTTATAAGTGATTTCTCACTTTCCTTCTTTATCTGACCTATTCATTTAATAATGATGGATTTCATTAATCTCCATGAATTTGTATATTTTCTATAGATGTACATATTCTTTAGCTGATAACTTGTAGCTTTGTTCCATTGAATGCGATAGAAAATTAACAATGGTTTCAGATTTTTTTATGTATGTTAAGACTTACTTCATGACATAACATGTGATCTGTTTTTAAAATGTTCTATAGTCTGATAAGAAGAATGTGTATAACACATTTTTGGATGCAATATTCTTAGATGTCTGTTAAGTCTATTAATCTATGATGTCATTTAACTCTGACATTCCTTTTTTATCTGCCTGGATGGCCTTTCAGTGGGTGAGATGAGTTGTAGAAATCCCCTTCTATTATTGTACAGATGTCCACTTGTGACTTTCCATTCAACAGTATCACTTATGAAATTGGTTGTGCCTGTGTTTGACACATATATTTTTAGAATTATAGTTTATTCTTGGTGGATTTTTATGCTAATGAGTATAAAGTGACTCGTGTTTTCACTTTTGACTAGTTTTCATTTGAAGTCTACTTTATCAGATACTAGGAAAATCATGTCTGCTTTTATCTGAGTTTCATTTTTCACCCAAAGGTAACATCTGTGTTTTATGACGAGGTTAAATGGATGGATCCTACACTTTAAACTGATTCTGTTAGTTATATCTTTTAATTTTAAAATAAAGTCCACTGGTATTCAGAATTACAAGTGAAAGAAAAAATATTTCCTATCATTTGTTGATTGTGTAGTATTTCCTAATGTTGAATGGCTATTCAAACTTGTATTCCTTCTTATGACTTTATATATACATCTGTCTCTTTTTTTCAGTATGAAGGATTCCTTCAAAATTATCCTATAAATATGGCTTAGTAGCCATGAATTACTTAAGCCTAATTTTATTGTAGGAATTTTTTGTTCTCTTTAAATTATTATAGCTTGTTCCATATATAATTTTAATTGATTTTTTGAGAATTTGGCCATATGTTATTATAACCACCTCAATCTTTTGAAATCCCTAGTGAGAAATTCTGTTACGATATGTCTTTCCACCAAGGCCGCCTTCTGAGTTCTGTCTGCCACTACGTTAAGGTCCCAAGTAACATAGAGAGACTGATATTAGGTACAAATGCTACTTGGCCAAAGAGTAGGATTTCTCATCTACTAGCTCAGTCTTAATTATCAACCATAATCATAAGACTTATTTTATGATTAATGCTGGCAGAAGGTGTCCAGCCTTCCTGGGCTCACATGGCGACTCCAGAGCAGAGAGCAGGAGGAAGAGAGAGAGAGAGAATGACTTCCTTCTTGTCCTTGCTTATATGTGAGTCTGCCTTCTATGTCATTTCCTGCCTGGATCTCTACTACATTTCCCAGAATCCTCCTTGACTCCTA